TTTTATGAACGCCTATAACGATACGATTGGATCAGCGTCTTATTTATCTAGACTAGTCTATACTAATATATAAATCTACAGTAGTTTTTACGGATGTTCCGTTATAACTACTGAACCGTGTATCCGATTGACTTGAAACTTGGTATCCATGTAGAAAATACATGTAATTAATGGATAGGCTAATATTTATATGAGTGTTGGATTCCCTACACCAGTTGCGGGGGCGTTAATGATGATAATCTTTGTGGGGGTGAGAAATAATAATTTTAATTTTAAATGCCCAGCGAAGCGGACGGGTACAGCTAGTTTACATATAAAATTCACTGATCTTAAATTTTGACTTTTCATGAATAGTGCAATGACTTAACAAGCTTTCGTAAAAGTATCATTAGTGCCATTGTAATAGAGTCTGAATTTAATTTCGAATAGCTCATCCGTTTTGTTTTTATTCTGTTCTTTGTGTTCTGAATTCTTATCATCGTCGTGCATTTATTTTACTAATAATAATAATAATGTGAATCGTGACTTATTGCGTTGTTCCGTTGCCATCATAACTGCTGTTGTTCAAATACCTCAACTGATAAATAAGTGAGTTATTGTTTTCCAATTTGAAACAAAAAAATGTTTTAATACACTAAACGTCACTTCGTTCAAACAAAGTCGAATTTTGCATAATTTATATAAATTTTTCTTGTAGTTTGCAATCATAGTGGCTCTGACTTTTCGATTTCCGCGAATCGTAAGCTTTAGTAAAAATACATAATTTTACGGTTTATAATCAGGCGTTTGTTCTTAACATTTTGATATTATCAGTATTACCAGTCAAATCCGTCCCGTTTCAGAGGTCGATCTCAGATTTGACTCTGATCTGATCAACAAGCTTCAGAGGATCATCCGCTGGACCAATTTGAAGATTTATTTTACAAATTTCATCAAAATCGGCCCAGCCGTTTCGGACTTTACATACAGGGAACATACATACGCACATCAACTTTTATATTATAGTATGAAAGTCAAGCCACCCAACCAAAAGCAAAGCCACCCCTCGCCGAAGACATTTCTATCGCTCATCCCAAATAAAGATAAATCTTTTTGGGAATCTGTGGTGATTATGGCATTTCATTAAGTACATCTTGATGATTATCATGACGGTAGTTGTCAAAACAATGGTTTGTCTTTGCAGCTTGTACGTATATTCTGAACGTGACGTGTGAACTGACGCTTACATTAGAAGTCGATGGTGGAAACAATCTGTCAAGTTTAGTATAGTAGAAAATGGGTGCATACATTTAAAACCATACATCAAATAACTTGGCCGGGGGACGAACCTCCTACAGGGTCCCCGCGCCTGGGGGCCCGCGGGGTGTTGATAGCGGATCGCGAGTTTAAGTACCCCGAATACTAAAGTTTAATGTTTTTTTTTAAATTACCATTTAAGGAAAGCACTTGCGAAAGGAAAACGGAAACAATCTGATAGCAAAATGGAAAGTCTAAAATTACGTTTAGGACACGAGAAAACGCATACATAAATACGTTTATCAAGACTCAGAACGAACGTATAATTCGCCGAAGTCGAAACATGGCTTCTTTGAGAGAGATGAATTTAATATGAAGTAGGTATAAGGGGACGAGGTTGCGCGTTAATAATTCGATATGCTAAAATTAGATCACTTAGTGTGACTTGGCTGAGTATTCATGCGAATATAGACGAGAGTAAAGTCTTGGAGCATGTGGTGTAATAAGATTAAGGGAGTAATAAATAAGTATTTGAATAGTAAAGACGTGTTTCATGTTCGCTGCGGCGTCAATCCTTTATATGGCGACCCTGCCAGGATAAGAGCCTGGAATCTTTTGAACCGTATTTTCATTTAAGTGTTTTTGTTTCGGAAGTCGCAGTACAGTGAGTGAGTGATCTATTCTTTTATGTATAATCGTTTATAGATGAATTCTACTGCCTTAAAAGCGAGGAAAAGGGCTGGAGAGGTCATGCGTCTACAATGTGTGATGGACTTACTAAGTTTAACATAAATTTTCTTTGCCATTTCAATTAAAGTCAATTTTTCTATTGCTCATACACTTCACTAAGTTTTTTATTTTAGTTTTATTTTTATTACATAGATGTTTGGCCGAGATCACGGCCCATCTGGTATTAACTGGTTACCGAAGCCTATAGACACCTACAACGTAAATTCCACCACCCACCTTGAGACATGGGTTCTAAGGTTTCAGTTTTTACAGTACAATGACTGCCCCACCCTTTAAACCGAAACGCATTACTGCTTCACGACATAAATAGGCAGGGTGGTGGTACCTACCCGTGCGGACTCACAAGACGTCTTACCACCAGTTAAAGTACAATTTTAGAAAGCGTTACAAAAAAGTATGCTTCTTATCGCACGAGAACAGCTGAATAAGCTAGCCGGAGTGATGTGGTGATTGGAGATCGCAGAGCGTAATTAACTCCCACCCGTGATACATGAGACAAGTCTCATTTTATTGTATTTTTGTAATTTTATTGTATACACTCCATCATATCGAAACGCATGTGCAGGATATCTCTTGCGGTATCGCCATACCACGCGTGTTGACGTAGCGTGACAAATGACAATCTTACGCAATTATTAATCAGCTGACACGCAAAGCGAACGGTGTCGTGCGTTTCGCAAAATATGTACTTACTACAACACAGTAAGAACTGTGGCGGGCAGCCATCATACAACACAAGATATTTGACAGATGCCTGAATATCGCTTACCACATTTACAAGATAAGCTTACTGGTTTACGATACTTTAACTGGTGGTAGGACCTCATGTGTGTCCGCACGGGTAGGTATCACCACCGCGCCTATTTCTGCCGTGAAGCAGTAATGCGTTTCGGCTTGAAGGGTGGGGCAGCCGTTGTAACCATACTGAGACCTTACAACTTTTATCTCAAGGTGGGTGGCGCATTTACATTGTAAATGTCTATGGGCTCCAGTAACCACTTAACACCAGGTGGGCTGTGAGCTCGTCTACCCATCTAAGTACAAATAAAAAAATAAAAAAGCTTGCATATATAAAAGCTCCGAACAACAACATTCAGACCGTCGGTCTACCGAGCAATATCATCCGCTCGGTGGAAGATCTTACCTTTGTCGTATACCACTCAAAGAACCACGCCTTAAACTCCGGGAGATATTTCGATTTTATTACAAGAACGCATATTTACCTGACAGACTGTATGCGTATTATATTTTGGAAGGTAATGTGAGGCGGTGTGCAAAAAAAAAAACTCAAATATTTGCCGGTGATCAATCACTCTCCGCAAATACACCAAGTGCGATGCACTGTTTTCGATCGTCATCGGAAATGCCACAGGCTTCACGGATCTTGAGGCGTCCTCATGGCAACACATTGCCGATTCGACACGAAATTATAAATATTGATTATTTTTAAACTTATACATTAGCGCTTATATATCTGCCTTCGGTTGTTTAAAGTTTATTCGAAACTAGCGAACCGCCCTCGCTTCGCTTCGGAAACATTAAATTTTATTATTGATAGCTGAGTCCCGCGATGTAACCCGCGGTTATTGTCGTACAGCGGGTAACGCCGCGAGGCGAAGCTAACCTAAAAAAAGTAGTCTAAGTATTTTTATTTTTAAAAAATATTTTTTTTTGGTAATGAATTCAGCGCTAATCTTATCATAGACTATATTAACTTTTCACTTCGATTCACGGAACTAACTTGTACAATAATCCGAAGAAAATATCGGTATGATTTTGGTTCACAAAAATAAATATTGAGATTTATTTTGCGGCTTCTCCAAGTTTCTTTTAAAAGGTGATTTTTATTGAATACTGGCGATCCGCCCTCGCTTTGCTTCGGAAACATTAAATTTTATTATTGATAGCCGAGTCTCGTGATATAACCCGCGGTTATTGTCGTACCGCGGGTGACGCCGCGAGGCGAAGCTAGTCTAAAAAAAGTAGTTTAAGTTACTCCTTATATCATCAGCTACCTATCAGTGAAAGTCCCGTCAAAATCGGTCCAGCCGTTCCAGAGATTAGCCGGAACAAACAGACAGACAGACAAACACAAAAATTGTAAAAAATGTTATTTTGGTGTATGTACCGTATATACATTCATATGCATGTAGCAAAAAGCGGTTATTTCAATATTACAAACAGCCCTCCAATTTTATTTATATGTATAGATAATTCTTGATCACGGGCCGGAGAGAGCTCCTTCTGTATGTGTTCGTATTTGTTTAGCTTAAGGTGGGAAGCGCGCGAGTAATGTGAACGCAAACATCGGCAATGTCATTGACAGTGTAAATAAAATATTGACGTATGAGAATTCACGTCAAGCACCTTAAGCGACTTGCAGAAAAACTGTGGTGGAAAACAGAAATGCCTTATCTAATACAAGGTGTTTAATTTTCTTTTCTATATCTATACTAATATTATAAAGAGGAAAGATTTGTTTGGTTGGTTTGTTTCGAATAGGCTCCGAAACTACTGGACCGATTTGAAAAATTCTTTTTCCATTAGAAACCGACATTGTCCCTGATGAACATAGGCCTCTTTTTTTATTTTTTTTATTTTATTTTTTTGTTTTCATGTGTGTTTTAATGTTTCCGAAGCGAAGCGAGGGCGGGTCGCTAGTTCTCGATAACCCTAAAGCTATCGGACAAATTCAGGAGAACTGTTTTTCTCTCTTCTTATTTATAACTATACTGAGACCTTAAAACTTATATCTCAAGGTGGGTGGCGCATTTACGTTGTAGATGTATATTGGCTCCAGTAACCACTTAACACCAGGTGAGCTGTAAGGTCGTCCAACCAGCCAAGCAACAAAAATAAAAAAATTGGAAACAAACTTCAATAAAATTAATAATGTGGCTGTCACGGGCAGTGTAAATCCCCATTCTAATTGAAATTGATGACCACATATAAAACACACAAAGTCGAACACAAGACCTCTTTTTTTTAAGTCGGTTAATAACTCTAGTACTCACTGGTCATGGTCGTCGAGCAGCCGCCGGTCCACGTACTGCCTGGTGGGTGGCGCCAGCAGACGCTGGGTGTCCGGCGCGCAGGCCCGGGCGAAAGCTGCCGCTGCTTCGGCCGCCGCGTCCTCATCGTACAGCGACGCGTCGTCCTCGGCTGAGCAAAACATATAAGCGTCACTCGAAAGCTATAAACACTGAAAAGGCGGCTCGACATGAGAACCCTCTTGTCGTGACCGCTGGAAACTACATACCGATCGTGTAGAACGAATGGTAAACAGTCGACGTCGCCCAAAGCACGTCATTACGGATCATCCCGATCCATTAACGGTGCTTTTAGGTACCACAAGCACCGGTCACCGTCCTCGTCGAACCCGTCGCTTGCGACGAAGGACTCGACGAGTAAATTAACCCTCAGACATAGCCCACTGAGTTTCTCGCCGGATCTTCTCAGTGGGTCGCGTTTCCGATCCGGTGGTATATTCTGCGAAGCACGGCTCTTGCTAGGGTTCGTGTTAGCAACGTCGTCGGGTTTGAGCCCCGTGAGCTCACCTAATAGTTAAGGTTACGCTAAAATAGTCTCTCAAGGCTCTCAGCTTAGGTAAAAAAAAGGGCAAGCAATGTATTATAAAAAAAAATTACAATTGAATTTTTAGAATGTAAATGTAAGGACCACAAATGTCCTCATAACAACTAATAATAATATGTATGTGTTAGCGATAATTTTATTGCAGTGATGCTACGTCAGTCTCGGGATTGTGGGGCTGTCAATAGCACCGTTAGGTTGTAATCTCAATACTGGATCCCGTCCTATTGTCAGGACGGGTACCGGCGACGGCGAGCCTGCGGCGCGCATTGTGCGGTACCGTAGGTTTCGTGGAGTCGGAGTGCTGGAGCTCGATGGGGTTTAGTCGGTAGTCGGTTTTGCGGGGCGGGTCCTGCGTGGTAGACGCCGCGCAGCGCCTCGCGCGCCTTTCTCAAGGCGTAGTCTCCCGGTAGGAATCGGAAGAGGAGGAGGACTTTGGTCTTCCTCTTCTTCTCTGGAGGCGCCGGAGTCCGACATAACCCAGTCTATTACCCCTCTCGACCGGGTATCCGTAAATGGATTCCCCAGCGTTAAAAAAAAACAAAGGTTGTAATCTCAATATACATTAGTCACTTAACTGAACACGTGTCTAATAATAATAATTAAAAAAAAATCCTTGCCCGATATAGAGACTCAACATAAACTAGCTTGATGTGGTAATTAAGATATAAATTGTGTGTATTTTATATTTTAATTATGTTATAATCGAAGCTTCGGCAATAATGTAATGACAATAAAATATACGGGATTTTAATCGGTAAATGTAGTTTTGATTATGTTTACGAAACGCAATTTCTGAAGGAAATACTAGATATATATTTAGAGGTGAAGCACTGTTTGGTATAAGCGACATTTATCTTTGTAATTAAATGTGCGTTTTATTTGGTATTAGCATCAACAGTTCAATGTTTTTAATTGAATTCGAATAGCTGAAGATTTCTGTTTGTTATGTTATATTTTTCAAATTTTAAACTTTAAAAGGCTCTCCTGTAAAGTTGCAGAAGTGTCGTTTAAACCACCAATAGCTTTTCACCCGTCGATATATAGCTTTATGTGGTCTTTAAAAAAAGTTTACAGATGAATGAATGGCTTCTTTTTATTCTCGTCTGTCCAAAAATGGTCAACACTTCTAAATGCACACACGGATTTCGACATAAGATGATATCGTCAGAATCCATCATCCAGAGTCACAGTTGGTTATCATTTTAAATTTTGGTTCATTTTAGCTCAGTTTCTGCTTTTTGTTTATTAAGTTGAAAAATATTATAATCTCATTTTTTATGCTTACACATGTGGGTAAATTGGTGATCGGATGATTTATAGTGTGATTTAGAAATACTTTTTAAATGTAATAAAAAAATTCTTGGCCTTTTCCTTTTGATTGCCAAATTGAGATTTGGCATTTGCTTACGACCGAGCTATGCTGATAGCCTTGAGAGGCTATTTAAGCATCTCCTTTGACCTCACGGAGCTCAAGCCGGGTGTGTTGCTAGCACTGACCCTAGCAAGAGCAGTGTTTCGCAGAATCTACCACCAGATCGGAAACGCGACCCACTGAGAAGATCCAGCGAGAAACTCAGTGGGCTGTGTCTATGGGTTAATTTACTCGTCGAGCCCTTCGTCGCAAGCTACGTGTTCGGCGAGGATGGTAACCAGTGCTGACGTCAACCCTCCTTGGGTTATATCTCTAAAATATCATCGCAACGTGCTTGTAGGGAGGGATTTTTCTGTTTCTTCTTTTGTTATTTCTTTAACTTTATCCGTTTTTGGTTTCATGATTTGTATTTTATTATTATAAATATTTATACTAAATTTTAGACTTTCTTACTAGACTACGAAAATATAAAAATATTTTAGTTTTACGGTATTTTCTTAATAATCTCGAATAATATGCAGAAACAAACGAACATGAATACCTATGCCAATTCAATTGAACATACTTTATAACATAAAACTGTCTTCTACACAGACGTTCCAGACTTTAATTTTCTTTGTCCTGAGCTGATAACAAACAGACATAAAACCGAATACTGGTGAATTTTAAATAATCTGCATTGCGGAATTCTTATCATTTTATAAATACGTTCCGACCATACATACTTGTGCATACGTTGTCATCAGTAATGTGTGTCATCATTTATTTATCACTCATAACTAAACGCGAGAATCATTGTGTACTAACCGAAAATCTTTTAAACGAACGAACACGAATGGAGCGTCTCGATGTAGCGACACATGTGAGTGGACGAGCTCACAGCCCACCTGGTGTTAAGTGGTTACTGGAGCCCATAGATATCTACAACGTAAATGCGCCACCCACCTTGAGATATAAATTCTAAGATCTCAGTATAGTTACAACGCCTACTCCACCCTTCAAACCAAAACGCATTACTGCTTCACGACAGAAATAGGCAGGATGGTGGTCCCTACCCGCGCGGACTCATAAGAGGTCCTACCACCATTAATAAAGTTTAAAGTTAGTGGCACGTTCATTTAAAGAAAGTAAAATTTGTTTTGTCTGCACTATGTCTACAATAGCATCACCACGTCTCGTCTCGTGGGTTTTGTAAAAAGTGACTACTAAGGGATTGGCCAGCATCATTCTCTGATTGTGTGTGATGTGTTACCAATCAGCATTTACTGGTAGTGGGGGTGACAGATGCCACCTTCCCGTTGTGGGCGGCGGCATTAATGTTGTGCTTAGTGGTCTCCAATATTACTCGACGCCAAGTAGGTATTAGAGTCCTTGGACATCACCAAGGTAAAGAAACCATCAATGTCAAGGTCGAGCTTTTAAGCATTTTACGTATTTTATAACGAGTTTCCCTCTCTCCAAACCGGAAGCTTCATCATTAGCATTACCATTATCATTAAGGAGAATAGTTTAGATTCTCACCACCGACTAAAGGTCCGCTACCATAGTGTTCAGTTACCTAATGTCAACCGCTTGCTAGTTACTGGTCTTTAAAGAATTCACTTTCAATAATAAATATGTGTATTACTAGTATGATGGTCAGTTAGTGGAATTAGGTGAGCTAATATAACTAAACATCAAAGAACAGTGACCAAAATTAGAGACTTCTTTACGACAACATATTTTTTCGGGATAACGTCCAGGTATGTTTAAAGTTACACTTTATTTTTACAATACAATAATCGAATCGATTTCGTGTTTTAGTTTCTCAAAATTTACAAGAAATCTTTTGGTAAGTAAATAGTACTGTCAACTTACGGTCGTATTCGAATCCTTCGTTTAACATGTTATCTTTGACGTTTGACGCACACTGACATTCAAAATGGCGGATTCGGCGGGAAAACAACTGTCAGTTTCGCTTTTCAAGAAACCGTTCTCATTAAATTTCCACTGTTTCAAGCACGATAAACTGTAGTTATGTTAAAAGGATACCACATTTTTTCACGTTTAGATAATGGCAAATAATCCTCAGTGTACATACTTAGAACTAAACAAATATATTATTCAATTAAGCCACGAGTAGGTCTTGTCCGGTCCGGTTACTAAGCCAACAGTTTATTCACAGAACTCTAATGATCTAATAATTTATTTAATTAGTATTAAAATGAAGAAAGAACAATCGTGTTTTAAATTGTAACAAAAAAGACTAACATTGTCTCTAAGTAGGTCATGTTAATTAGATGCTGTAAATTTCTTCTTGCGTTTACACATCTGCTGTCACCGTAGATTACAATGGTTTTGAAAATATGCACTTTTTAAATGTAGATATGGAACATAACATTGGCTGCGTTAGTCTGTGGTAGAGCATGATCCACCATCAGCTTTATAGAAAACAGCAAAGCTTTTACCGTCCAAAAACAGCCTTTCTTATTCATCACTATAAATTTTCAATGACAAATTGCAAGTGACCTGCACTGAATTTGACCTTCGACGTTTTCAAAACGCGAATCCAAATTGTTCGGGGTCATCCATCATTTTAACACTACACCAATAACGCCTTAAAATTTCCTTTATACAAATACAAAATCCATGAGAACCAGTCACTAAAAGTCACGTTCGCGTTTGTTTGAAATTTAGTTTTATAACGACTAATATGTACGCCTATCTCACTATTATTTTTTCTGTGTGCTCAAGCTGAGCGTTCTAGGTTAAATGCGATCCTTATTGCCGAAAAAAAAAACCAGATAGCACGCGCGTGTTTATAAATGCATGTGTGTTTAATGCGGGGGGCGGTACCTGTCGGGTTTTGTCATGATTTTAATGTTTTATTTGTGGCATTCTAATTACTGGACATAGAGAGAGTGCGCCTATGAATATTTAAGTTGCGCAGCTTGTATCTCTCAGTGAGCTGTCTCAGTTAAGTTCATCCGAAATATGACTAGTTGAAGTCGCCGTGGCCTAAAAGATAAGACGCCCGATGCATTCGTATCTAGCGATGCAACGGTGTTTAAATTCCGCAGGCAATTACCAATTTTTCTAATGAAATACGTTAACTTAAACTTACTTAACAAATGTTCACGATTGACTTCCACAATCCACGGTGAAGGAATGACAACGTGTAATAAAAATCAAACCCGAAAAATTATAATTTGCGTGG